ACATATATTCATACTCCAACACTGTATAGGAAACTCCTGAGCTCAGCTGGTGAGGAAAGCGAACATATATTCATACTCCAACACTGTATAGGAAACTCCTGAGCTCAGCTGATGAGGAAAGCGAACATATATTCATACTCCAACACTGTATAGGAAACTCCTGAGCTCAGCTGGTGAGGAAAGCGAACATATATTCATACTCCAACACTGTATAGGAAACTCCTGAGCTCAGCTGATGAGGAAAGCGAACATATATTCATACTCCAACACTGCTGATAAATGGTGAAGAATTTTCTTATGAACTCCACAGCCCTCTATGCAGTGCCGTATTACAATTCTCGATGATGATAAATTTCTTATATTCATACTCCAACACTCAGGTTTACTTCGACTCGTTGATGGCACCGTTGGCGGACACCTTCCAACAGCTTCTGAACGCGAGGCCGAAAGCAGTTGCTTATATTGGGCAGATTAAGAGGAACTGGAAGGTGGAGAAGAGGTGTGTAGCTCAGTTGGTTAGGGTTCAGGGCTGTCTATCGGGTGGTCGTGAGTTCGATCCTATGTAGGTTCTTTACTAAACTTTGCAGACAGAGAGGATTGAACTGTGAGCTCCTTTATTCAGCTCTTGTGGAAGAGAACGATGGCTGTGGTCAGGAGACCGACGGAACGGTAACAAAAGCTTCCATTTATACCATCATTTACACTCTTTTTGTAGAATGTCCCTATTGATAGTGATATTACTTTATATGATTTATAATGCAAGATATGTAAATATGATATTGTTGTATGATTCCCATTTATCTGATTGGAGTTTCACAACGTGAAGTGGCGTCGTAAAACTCGGTGAAAAACTAGGCGATATTCGCGGTGATAAGCAGTAGTCGCGAAATATGTTTTTCATATCACTAGGGTGGCCGTGAAACTCCAATGAAGACGCCGTAGTCTGTATATGGTTTTTCATACACTATCACACGAATACCGTATCAGTAAAAAATAGAAGTATTTTTCAGGAAATTCATACATATTTTCCTTTTTTTGTGTCAGTTTAAGATCCTAGAAGAGCACGACATCACTGCTAACGAAGAGGGAGATTGGAATCTTCGACTGTACAAACTTACTAGGAAGGATTGAAGACAATTGTGGCAAACCACAAGGAGACGAGACGTTTCTATCGCACTGCATCATCGGCGTTGGGTTGGACATCAAC